ATTCGAATGTTAAGGGAAAATAAATAAATAAATAAATAAATAATGATAACTTACTGGCACATATCAAAACGATTAAAAACAAGAGGAGAAGAAGACGATGATATTTAATTATCATTATCAATCAATGCTCAATTTTTTTTTAATAATAATAATAGTAATAAGAAGGAAAAAAAAAACCGTTTTAATCGTTCTTCCTACATTATAAATGTTTTTAAAAACAATGGTTTCTTATTTGAATAAAAAAACAAACATAAAAAAAAAACATTGTAAAAAATTAATCAACGGGAAATATTATTATTATTACTATTATTATTTATTTTACACCGACGTCGTCCGACGACACACGTAATAATAACAATAATAATAATAATAATGACATCAACAAAAACAACGTTTTTTATAATGATAATGATAATGATAATGATTATTTATTCCTTCTTTTATCTCCACGACAAAATATATTTTTTAATTAATTTTTTTTTATGTACATAAATTTTTTTTTTTTTTGTTAAATGTTTAATTATATTAAAGAAGTAAGTTGTTGCCTAGACAACAAACAAACAAACAGACAAACAAACGGGAAAAAAAAACAACTAAAAGCGATCGTAGGCAAATAGAAAATCATCATTCAAAATATTTAAATTTATTAAAATTATTATTATTATTTATTTATTTATTTATTATCTATTAAATTTATACAATCGTACGTATTGATAAAATATTATATTATCAACAATTTAAACTTATGTATTTATTATTTAAAAAAAAAATTTTTTTTAAATCGTCGACAAAATTTGTATTCGAGGCAAGTTTAAAAGATTTTTTTCATATAATTCATTGAACCAAATGATGATGATGATGATGATGATCGAGTGTGACAAAAAAAAATTAAATGCGTGATTACGTCATCATTGCCTTTAAATCTTAATTTTAAAACCTTTGTTAAAATTCATCGAGTGGTAAAATAATAATTTATTTTCTGAGGGGGAGAGCAGGAGGAGGGTTAAATGGGGGATGTGTAAAGGGAAAGTTTGTATTTTTCCAAATTTTTTACGTCAATAATAATAATAATAATAATGGAGCACGAAGTAGTATTATAATAATTTAAAAAATTTTTCTAATTGTGACAAACGCAAACAAACAAAGTGAAAACGTTTCGTCCGGACATAATCGGAAACGGAAGTTGATTTCATCAAAAAAAAAAAAAATGTGCGTTCATGAACGGTTTTAAAATAAAAATTCCTTTTTCAAAATTTTTAATTTTTAACTTTTTTGTTATTCCGAATCGATAACTTTTTATTTCTATTTATATAATTTTAATTTTAAAATTAATAGATTATTAACAAATAAATAAAAAAAAAATGGACGCGAATGTAAAAAAAAATTCTTTACTAAACCATTTTAATCGTGTTTTTAAATGAAAAAAAAACGAATCGTTTTCGTAAACAAAGCCTCCGGGATTTTCATCACTTTCGTAATATAATTATAAAATTTCCACCAAATTTACGAGCCAAATCGAGAAGAAAAATTCAAAATAAAAAAAAAACGAAAAAACTTTATTAATAAATAATTAAAATTTAATAACACATAATAAATAATTTATTTAATAAAAAAGAAATTGGATATTTAAAAAAAATGGCGGCGTCATGGCGTTAACATATAAATAAATATTTAAAAATTTATTAATTTTATTATTTTTCAAACTGAAAAAAACGTGCTGTCGTTTACAATGTAAAATTTAAAGATGGCGTCGGTTTCTATTAAAAAATTCCGAGGAAAATCAATAATAAAACGGTTAAATTTATAATTGATTGATTTGTTCAGACGTTATATTATTTTTTAAAATAATTTTAGCAAATAAATTAACGCGTAAATTATATGTTGATCGAATGAAAATGACGTCATTAATTTTTTCTTTCTAGAAATTTCTTTTTGACAAAAAATAAAAACTGTTTTGCGTCATTCAAAATGGAGTCTACATTATTTTTTAATTAATGACATGTTTAAAAATGTTTTAAAAAGAGTCTGGACAAAATAATAATTAAACAAATTAAAATTTATCTCGTGTTGTTGTTTTTCTCACCCCATTTCCGGCTTGATCTCTTCCCCATCCGGAAATAGTCACTACGACAATTTTCATGCTAATAGAAATAATAATAATAATGATGTGAAAATATTATGTAATGTGCATAAAACAAATAAATTAATTGAAATGAGAATTTAATTTATTTAATAATTTAAAATTTAATTTATTATTTAAATTTAATTTTTTGCGAATTAAACGTTCATTAATTTTTTTATTATTTTAATAATAAAAAACAACAAAAAAATTCGTCTGCTGTTGTAAATAATCGTCAAAGGAAAAATAATAAATTTAATACAAACGCATAGAATTGAATTTTAAATTATTACTATTATTATTTTAAAAAATGCTGTGGAGGATTTTATTTACTTTAACAATCGTAAATCGTGACATCAGATGCTGTCGGAAGATTAACATCGACAGGATTTCAAAACGGTCTAAGGATTTATTAAAAAAAAAAAAAAAAAATTATGTGCGTTTAATATTAATCGGGGTGCAATTTTTATCGCAACTAAACAAACAATCGCCATTCGCCATTTTGGACACCACCATTTTTTTTTACAGTGTTACCAATTCTCAATTTAAATATATATGTAAACAAATTGATTATTGTTGCTTTTAACCGGAAGTTATTACGTTTATTTTTTATTTTTAAGAGAGAGAGAGAGAAAAATTTGCTATTAATTAATTAATTAATAAAATTGATCTTAAACAATAATAATAATAATAATAATAATAATTAAAAAATTACAAGAGAAACGATATTGACGGTGTATTACGCAAACAAATGTGTTAAATTATAACAAAAGGTTTTTGTTTTTTTTTTTTTTTTGTTTTTTCTGTTTGTTTTCATTCGACATCGTGCAGGTGTTGATTATTTGTACAGGTTTTTTCTTTTTTTTGAACGTGTCACAAATGTAAAAAACTCGTTTAAATATTTTTTTAACGAATAACAAAACGTCAATGTTTTTTTATTGTTTATTAATAATTTTTTTATTGATTTTTATAAATTCGGGTAAGAAAAATTTTTAATTTTTTTATTTAGTAAAATATTATTTATTAATTTTTTTTTTCTTAAATGATTATTCTAATAGATTTTATTTTTTTTTTTTTACGCGGGAAAAAAGGTTTTTCAAATGTAACAATTGAAGAAATAAGGGTAACCGTAGAAATTGAAAGAACGAAAGATACTTTGATCGTGGGAACAGACGATGAAGTTTTCGACAGTTTAGAATCTTACGATTTTTATTATGATTACGTTTACATGTAAATTTTTCATATTATTAAATATTTAATCGATGAGATTAACAAAAAATTTATATGCGTGTGTACGGTTTTGTCGAAATTATTATGTGCGAAATGAGAAATGTCGTCGTGTGGTTATGATACACGACAATTTCATTCGATTACCGAACAATCAACATCCTCCGTGGAATTAACACAGGTAATTTATTATTCGATTGTGTTACATTAAATTTTTTTTGGTAATTCCACATACCGTGCGGTATGTTCATTTTTAAATAACTCAAATTATTATTATTATTATTACTAATGTTATGAAAAAAATTTATATTTTTGTTTTAATTAAAAATTCATTACGTCATTGTTTGTAAAAAAAAAAAAATTTTTATTATTTAAAATTCAATAATGCTTTATTTATTTATTTATTTTTTGAATTAAAATTTAAGGGGAGGTAAGGGAGGGGGGAAAATGTCATTATAAATTTTAATAACAGTAATGATGATAACGTTTAATTTAAAAAAAAAATTTTCTATAGTCTTCCTCCTGAACCACTTCTAAGCATGTATTCACCATATCCTGCCGATGCTAAATCCAAACCTGGAATAAAAAAAAATTATTTTTCAAGTAATCATAAATAAAATAACAAATAAATGCGATGATGATAATAATAATAGTAATAATAATAATAAATATATGTGTACGTACCGAACATGGCAAGAAGTAAAGCGAAACAAATATATTAATTTAATGAATTCATTTTTTTTTTTGTAAACTCGACTCCGAACCTAAAATAAAAAATTTTTGTATTATTATTGTTATTATTATTATTATTATTATTATTATTATTATTATTATTATTATTATTATTATTATTATTATTATTACGTGAATTTTTTTTACGTTTAATACGTCGCGGTACAATTATTGACTCTTATCACTAAAACCTTTTTTTTTTCAAATTGAGAAATACTCACGTTGATAATCCTGAGTAAAATGTGAAGAAACAAAAAAATGTCGGAAGGTTTATAAAAAAAAAATGGCGATGACGTAATAATATTAAAAAATAATAAAAGAAATTAATTAATTAAATTGTTAAAATTTTTTTTGTTTTTGTTTTTTTTAATTTACGTTAATTAGGTTTTTGTTAATTGAATCGCACCTGAATTTTTTGTTTTTTTTTAAATTCAAGGTTAGGGAAACGCTTACAAATTTTACATTTTTCAAAAATTTTTTTAAATTTAACCGTTAGTAATAATAATAATAATGATGGGTACATAGAAATGCAGTTTTGTCAAACAATCAAATTGATCGTGTTATCATCATTAAAATAATTATTATCATTTGATTCAAATAATAATTTCATTGTAATTTTATAAATACATTAATTATTATTATTATTATTGTTTCAAACCAGTATTATTATTAATTAATTTATTTATTTATTTATTTACTCCGATTTAAAATTTAAAAATAAATAAATAACGAATCAATCGTTAATGAAAAATAATGATAAGAACAAGTTATTATTAATTAATTATTTATTTGTTAATTTTTCAATTTAAATTTCCGGTTGATTTGGTAAAAGGGGAGTGGGGGAGGATGGGGACGGAGCGGGGCGAAACGTCATCATTAATGTCGATATCATATAATTATGTTTAATGGCGTAAAAAATTTTTTAGCATCTTCCTATATAGAGTGGCCTTCGAGTTGTACCCGAGTACCCTCCCGAACCAACTGCAAGCCTGTAATCAAGAAATCCTGCAGATGCAAAGTCGAAAACTGAAAAAAGAAGAAAAATGTCGATTTATTAATAATAATAATGATAACATATCAAAAGTAACTTCTGGTAAATGTATCATATGTTTAGTTTTTACCCAGAGCAAAAAGCAGGGCGAAACAAATAGATTTAAGCAATAAATTCATTATTCGGTTCACTCAACCTGAAATTTAAAATTTTATTATTATTAATAATAATATTACGTCATTTCCACCAAAAAATTATTATTACTACTTTCTTATTTAATTTAGATATATATATTCACGATGATAATCCTGATGATAATGATGCAAAAAAAACACGTCAGGTGGTTTATATATATGATCAAAAACAAAAACAAAAAAGTGATGAAGTCATAATAATTAAAAAAAAAAGAAAATTAATTGAAATGCAAATTTTCTGGTTAATTAGTCTCCTATTTAAAAATCTCTACTCCATTTTATTCATTCAAGGTTAGGCGAATAAAAATAATAATAATAATCAATATAAATATATAGAAATTACGATTTATTATTGTTTTATTCAATCGATATCGATTTTATATTCGTTTGTTGTTGTTTTCCCCCCCCCTTCCCACCCCTCAACACACACATTATTAATAAATAAAATAATTAATTGAGGTTAATTATCCGACGACAATTAAAAATGTCGTGAATATATTATGTTAATTAATTGAAACCACGATTATTTATAAAAAAAAAAACATAAATTAATAATTGAACCGAATAATAATTTTATTTATTTATTTATTTTTCAAATGAATTTTCGTAAGGTAAAGTTCACACCACACACGTTGATACCTTATCAATAAAAATTTTTTCATCGTCTTCCTCCGTAATATGATCTGTGAGATCCATCCGAACGTCCTCCCGAACCTATTCCCATCCTGTAATCACCGAAATCTCCCGCAGCAAAATCAAAACCTGAAAAAAAATTTGATTGGTAATTCGTAACACGTCAGCCCCCTTCAAAAATAATAATAATAATAATAATAATAATAGATATGTATATTTACCGAGGAAAAGAATTAGGGCAAAACAAATGGTGTAATGTAATAATTTCATTTTTTTTTAATTAATACCAAACCTAAAATTAATAATTTAATTATTATTATTATTATTATTATTATTATTATTATTATTATTATTATTATTAATTATATTTAAATACTTATATAAAAAATTAATCAATCACGACAATACTCACGATGATGGCGACGTCTCTGATGAAAATGTTATGAAAAACTCCTACCCAAGGCCTACAATGTAAAAAAAAAAAAAGATGACGACATAATAATTAAAACAAAAAAAAGAAGAAATTAATTGAAATGTAAAAAAAAATTTTTTTTGTTGTTGTTGTTGTGATTTTAATTAGTCTATTGTTTAAAAAAATCGTACCTGAATTTTTTTTGTTTTTGTTTAAACAAATGGCACTTTTGAAAATCAGGTGATTGTGTCAATTTTTACACTTCCGTTTCCATTCGTGAGATTTGTCCAACATCTGTAATTTCGGGGCCGTTTGCATCTGCAGACAAATACGATTTTTTTTGTTTGGCTTTGTTGATTGTTGGCTCTTTTTTTTTCGAATTTTTTTTGAAGGTTGGTTAGAATCGTGATTGATTCGCGAGAAAGGTTAAAGTTCGTTGTCGTTTCCCCCCCCCCTAATTTTTATAATTATACGAATTCAATAATGATGTTCTTACCTCAAATCAAGACTTTTCCCTTACTTATACTTTTAACAGTTTAAATGGTAATTTTTTAATATCAAACCTCCATATTATTATTATTATTAGCTCATTAAAAATTTATAATTTTATCCAAACAAACAAACGACATACGAATTGTTTACCTTTTCAAAATAAAAAAAATTTATTCGTAATCGGATGACGTCACGGACTTTTACGCGCCATTTTTAACAATTAAAACGCCTCATAGCTCATTTATTGTGAATATAAAAAAAACGTTTTTAACGAATTTTTTCGAAACGTTTTCTTTAAAAAAATAAATTAAATAATAATAATAATAATAATAATAATAATAATAATAATAATAATAATAATAATAATAATAATAATAATAATAATAATAATAATAATAATAATAATAATAATAATAATAATAATAATAATAATAATAATAATAATAATAATAATAATAATAATAATAATAATAATAATAATAATAATAATAATAATAATTAAAAATGACAATTTATTTATGGTAAAATCCAAAAAATTAACCGGAAGTAATAATAATAATAGTAGGCAACTAACCGGATATTATCTTGCGACATAATTCCGGAAAATGGTGAAAGGTATTGGTGGAAAAAAACTTCAGACGGCCAAGGAATCGGACAAAGGGATGAAATACTGCAGAAATTTAGAAATTTAAATAGCCAGAATGTGGGGAGTAAAGACAGAAACTATTCGGGTTATCGTGGCAGCAACACTGGGAGCCATGCCACATTCAATGAAAGAAAATAAAAGAAAAAATCGTACAGGAAGTAAAACGGCCGATATTCGAGCAATTATTCCTGAGGAATAGGGTAGAAACCTGAAATGAATGTCTGCAAATACGTGGAATCTTGTCGCGTTCAAAAGTGAAAATAATAATAATAATAATTGTTATTATTCACTAGCAAAAAGAATAACAAGAGAGTAACACTTTTAGAAAAAAAATTTAGTATAATGTTTGAAATTATTATCATTATTGTTTTTTTAATTAGTCAATTGTTTAAATCAAAACAGCTGCATAATCTTTCATCCTTGAAAAGATTTGACATGATCAAATTAAAAAAAAAAAAGAAATCTGGTAAAAGTAAACATTGCATTTTTACATTCTGTTGTGTAACCTTTACAATTGTAATTAAAAAGGAATTTTTTTTTTTGATTTTTGATGACGTAAATTTTTTTTTGAAAATGACGTTTGCAATATGGTTTTAAAACTATATAATATCAGCGTGATTTCATTTTTACCTTTGTGTCAAGTGATTAATGAAGAAATAATTAATTGAATAATGAAGGCACAAGTCATATTATTATTATCTATGTTTTATGCGGCACCTGGTAACGAAATAATTTTTCTTTTATTTTCTTTGATATTTTAGTGATTGGCTTTTTATTACGAATTTTTTTTTTTTTTTAGTTTTAAGCAGGCCGTATACTTGCCCATACTGTTGCTACTGTTGCCCTTATCCCTACTGTCACCTAGCATGTTCTAGTGAGAGAAGTGACACTACTCCAAAATGTAAATGCGCCGATGGAAAGCCCTGCTGCTGCTGTGATGGTGAAAATTGCGAATGTGGCACTGATGGTTGCAAATGTGATGGTTGTTGCGGTTGTTGCGGATGTGGTGTTTGTGGCTGCGGAGGATTGTCTTACGTCGATGATGATGCAAATTGGAAAAAATGTTACGAGCATAATATATGGATACAATAAATTCTCTAAATTTAATTTTTACAAATAGCTGTGTCCTCATTTTATTTGTATTGTTGTAAACTTTTAAAACCCTTAAATAAAAACTTAAAAATAAAGCAATTATTATTCTCTTCTCTAAAAAAAATTTAATTGATCACGGTTTTAAAAAAAAAAAAAACTGCAAGGGAGGAATGTTTATTAAAGTTTAATTATGCAACTGTTAATATTTTATGTTTTATCATTAAAAAAATAAAGAAAAATTTTTTAAAATGTTTTACGAAATTTTTTTCGTTTTATTAAAATTTTTTTTTTTTATAAAAACGATTTAATATTTTTTCCTTAAAAAAAAAAAAAAGGAAAAAATCCAATCAATATTGAATAATAAATTTTTTTTTTGCTTGATCTAAGCTACTCTAACGATTTTAATATATTTCAAAATAATTATCACTGATTAACATGAATTTCGATATATATATGTACGATATATAATAACTAATACTTATACTAAACTTATTTTTTTTCCTTTTCTCTCTTACTTGATCGGTAATAGATTGGGTTGGCAGATAAGTAATTGCAGATTTTACCAACAGACAGTTTGTACATTTTTGTACAGACATGAACTTTTGATATCTTATTATTTGATTCCTTCTGTAACATTCAGTATCAACATTTTATTGAACCCTTAAATTGTGTGCGAGCAAAAGACATTTAAACATGAGGAAAAGCCAAAGCGAGAATTTTCTAATCTAGCCAATAGAAAAGGAATTGTCTTTCAGCACCATAATGCCAGGCCTCATACATCTTTAGGCACCCAACAAAAACTACTGGAACTAGGCTGGAATGTTTTGCTGCACCCTCCTTATAGTTCCAAACTAGCTCCAAATAATTATCATTTTTTCCGGCCACTAAAAAACTTTTTGAAAGGGCAAAAATTTCAAAACGACAATGAGGTCAAAACTTTATTGGAGCAGTTTTTTGCTCCTAAAATAAAAAGCTTTATAAAAAAAAGAAAATGATACTACCCGAAAAATGGCGGCAAAGGGTTATTCATAATAATGGACATAATATAATAGATAAAAATAATTTTACGTAATTAATAAATCGTTTTTTGTTTCCTTGAAAAAAAAGTTAAAATTTTCTTATACATAAGGTTTTCAAAAGAGATAAATTCCCGCCAAAAATTTTATTCTAATCATATAAATAATTTTTAAAAAAATATTTATAGAAATAAGAGATTGAATAATTTATTAAATGTTTCGTTTCGAGTAATTTTATAGTAATTAATAAAACCGTTACATCTTTATACAAAAAATAAAAAATTAGGTATAAACGTATATAATAATTCTTTTTTTTTTTTTTGGTTATTTGTAGGAAGCATTCAAGGTCCTCACGAACGTCTTTTACTAAATCAATTACTTGCTAATTACAACACATTAGAACGCCCGGTGTCCAACGAATCAGAGCCTTTACAAGTTAAGTTTGGCCTAACATTACAACAAATTATTGACGTGGTAAGTTTATTACTTATTTTTAATAATATTTTTTTAATAATTAATTATTATCAACTTTATAAATATTACCGGGTAATAAAACCCCTTATTGAAAAAAAAAAAGAAATATATATCGTACCCAAATGCCCCTTTCAATAAAAATCAATAATAATAATTTTCTTATTTTTTTTATTAAAGAATTACGCTTTAATTTTCGGTAATTTTCCTTTATTATTATTATTATTATTATTATTACCTTGAAATAATTTTTAACGGCTTTTTTTTTTGAAAAAAATTTGTAATTAATTAGAAAAAAACAAAAAAAAATTTTCTTTTGTTTTCCCCGACCAAATGTTTAAACAAATCAAACGACATTGTTTAATCAACCGAGGAAAGCATGTAAAAAAAAAAACAATGACATTTAATTATTCAAATTAATTAATTAATGGTTAATTGTTTAAACTAAAAAAAGATTCAAAAGGTATAATAAAAGTAAAAAATTTTTTCATAGTGAGTTTGTGTTACACACTAAACGATCATCTACATCATGAAGGTATTTGTTCTTTTCTTAGCCGTTTTGGCAGCAGGTAATTTACAAAAATCTTATTAAAAATTAAATAATAATAATAAAATTTTTTTTTAATTATCATTATCATTATTATTGTTATTATTTTTATTATTAATATTATTATTATTATTAATATTAATATTATTATTATTATTATTATTATTTAATGTAGTTTTAGGTGAAGGAATGGCTGGTACAAACTGGAAACCACCCCCACACGGCCCTTACATTGTTGAATACGATTATTACTAAACTAATAATCATTTAACTTACAATCGTCGACGATAATAATAATAATGAATAAAACGTTTTCAAAATTTTATTTTGTCTTGTCTGATTGATTGTCGAAAAAAATTAAAATTTATCATGATTCAATAAAGCATTAAAAAAATAATAAAAAAAAATTCGTTTGTTTATTTCGATTCATAATAATTATTTCTAAAACGGTAATAATAATAATAATAACAAATATGATCACGCGTTATTATTATACATCTAAAATATAATCTTCTTCGTCATCACGTGATTACAATTATAATAATATCGTTTGTTTAAAATTAAATTTTTTTTTTGGTGATTACAAAAAAAAAACAAAAAAAGTGAAAAAAAAATCGCGTTTCAATATTTAGTTCGCTCATATAAAAAATTTTTACATAGAGTAATAAAAAAAAAAAAAATTTTATCATAGAGTTTAACTCTGCTTGACTTTCTTTCTTCTACCCTCGTCGAAAGTGCAAATCAATAAATTTTCATATCCGATTCGATCGTCGATGGATCCACAACACCACGTTTTCCTCTTTCCTTCCTCGATGTCTCGGCTTTCAGTGATGGCTACCCTATCTTGTGTCAGAGTACACTCGTAGCTCTTAAGTATTTCTTTTACTCTCCTGCACTGTAGCAAGCAAGATGTTCTCAATAGGTATGAGTTATAACTGAAAGGTCAATTTCCTCGTTCGTAAACAATGCCGAGGAACTTGTTGATAATTAATGAATGGTACCAAAGTTGACGGACGAACGTCAACGTAACACGACAAAATCAGAAGAACCCCATTCCTTTAAGAGTTGCACCTAAAGTTGCAATGAGAATAATAAAACACAAAGGAAAGAACCTTTTGGAAGGTTCTCTTATATTTTCTATTTTTGGTACCCATTGTTTTACTATTTCCGATGTTTATAACGTCTATAAACGTTTTTATAAATAAACTAGGTACGGGAACATAGCAATATGTATATTATCATAGAGTACATAACAATATATTTTTATTATCATAGAGTATATAACACGAGTGGTATATTATTCTTTTTTTTATTTTCTACTCGGAGGGTAAAAAATATTACACGCGCGTTTAAAAAAATTCTTTGAAATCCCCTTTCCTCCTCCCCGCCCCTCACTCCCTCCCCCTTTCTTTCTTCCTTACTTTTTCATTTAAATAAACGAAGTAAATAATTAATAATTGATATAAAAAAAATCATTCGAAATGAATAAATACATTTTTTTTTACGTATAAAGCTTTTGTCGAAAAAAAATTTTTTTAAAAATGTTTTTAATTTCAATTTTCAAAAAAATAAATTATTATTATAATTATTAAAAAAATACGTCGGAAATTTTTTATTAAAAAAAAAAAAAGAATTACGTTTTAACTTTCGGTAATTTTCCTTTTTTTTTATTATTATTATTACCTTGAAATAATTTTTAAAGATTTTTTTTTTTTTTTTGAATTTAATTAGAAAAACAAAAAGAATTTTCTTTTGTTTTCCCCGACCAAATGTTTTTAAAACAAATCAAACGAAATTGTTTAATCAGGTGATGAAAGCATGCAACAAACAAAAAAAACAATTAATTATTCGTTAATTGTTTAAAACTAAAAAAAGAATTTCAAAAAGTATAAATAAAAAGGTAAAAAAAATTTTTTTCATAAGTTAACTTTGTGTTACAACATCTAAACAATCATCATTATCATGAAGGGTTATTTAATTTTTTTCTTGGTTGTTTTGGCGTCAGGTAATTAGCAAAAACCTTATTATAATTAAATAATGATAAAAAAAAATTTTATTTAAATATTATTATTATTATTTAATTTAGTTTTAGTTGAAGGAATACGTTACGGTACCCAAAACGGTAATCATTATCCACCTGATCATTCACCTGATCGTCACCAGGATGATTTACCCGGAGGTGACCGTTACCCATTAGAGTACGATGAATACGAGTAAATAAACAACTTACATTCATCATCATCGATAATAATAATAATGAATAAAATGTTTTCGAAATTTCATTTTGTCTTGTCTGATCTGTCAAAAGTATAATAAAAATTTATCACTATTCAATAAATCATTAAAAAAATAATAAAAATTGTTTATTTCGATTGATAATAATTATTTTAAAACGGTGATAATAATAATAAAAATATGATCACGCGTTATTATTATTACATGTAGAATGTAATCTTTTTCATCATCACGTGTTTACAATAATAATAATAATAATATCGTTTGTTTAAAATTATTATTATTTTTTTTTTGGTAATTACGAAAAAAAAAAAAAATCGCCTTTCGATATTTAGTTCACTGATGTAAAAAATTTTTTCCATAGAGTAATAGAAAAAAGTAAAAAAATTATCATAGAGTTTAACTGTTAGGGTAATAAAAATTTATCATGCTTTTAACGAATATATTATCATAGAGTATATAACACGAGTGATATATTACTCTTTTTTTTCTATTCGGAGAGTTAGGAAAATATTAAACGCGCGTTTTTAAAAAATTCTTTGAAATCCCTTCTCTCTTCCTTCCCGCCCCTCCTCTTTCCTCCCCCTTCCTCTCCTCCTCCTTTTTTATTTTTCTATTTAAATAAATGAAGTAAATGATTAATAATACTTTCGTTAAAACCATCGATATAAATAAATCATTCGAAATGACTGAATAAATAAATTTTATTTTTTTTTTTTTTTATGTAAAAAACTTTTGCCGAAAAAGAATTTTCTTAAAAAATGTTTTTATTTTAATTTGCATAAAAATAAATTATTATTATTATTATTATTTTTATTAAAATACGTCGGGAATTTTTTATGTACATAAAATTCTAACGGTATAATTTTTTATTAATAAAAAAACACTCGTCGTATTTTTATTAAATTTATTTCGAACTCAAGAAAGTTAATAAAAAATTTTTTTTTTCCTTTTTTTTTTCAAAATTACATTTATTATATTAATATTAATAAATAATAATAATAATAATAATGACCGAGTGCGTTGCGAGAAGAATTGTCCAAATACTATATTGAGTTCTGTAAGATTAACAAATCTAAACTGACAGAAATGTTCCAGTCAACAAAACGGATATCAAACTGATAAGCACGATTCCGATAAACGGTGTAAACAAATAACAAATGTTTCCGTATACGGGCAGAAAAAATGGTTGACAAATAAAAATTGTCCTAGATGCGAAAAATAAAACCGGAAATGGTTTCTTGTTATCGCTAAAAGGTCGTGATAGTAATACCACAATTGACAAAAAAAGTAGTGAAAAAAAAAAATTTTAGATTTTACAAAAATAATAACGAAGAAAAAAGGAGAGAAAATGATTTGGAAAAAAAAAAATTAACATGACCGGATAAATGAAGAATTAAAACAATTTCCGGTCACCTTTGGAACTTTGGGCTAAAACCACGACAAACACTTACTTGGAAACTAAATTAAAACAAAAAAAAGAATTTTCATTTAAATTTTTTCAAGTGCAAAAACAAACCGTGTCAATTTTTTAAGAAATCGGGTGTTTTTACCTGGAATGAAAAATATCTGGAAAAATTCCAACGAAACCGACCGATATTCTTAATAATAATAATAATAATAAATTACGAGATATAAAATAATCGTCTTCGTGTTTGGAACGTGCTGGAAAAAATTACTTAAAAGTTTTCTTTTTTTTTTTTTGTTAATAAGAAAACAATATATAAAGTCACGATTAATTATAATTAATAAAATTAATCCGATGATAATAATTAAAATAAATAATTAACATAATTTATGAGAGAGAGATAGAAAGAGAGAGAGAGAGTGAGTGAGAGAGAGATAGAAAGTGAGAGCAGACGATAACAAATTTCAAATTGGAAAAAAAATAAATTAATATTCGTTTTATGTAATTATTATTAAATCTTTATATATAAAAAAATTTTTTTTTTTTTGTATTAACAAATAGCAGACGAAATTATTTAAATCTCTTTTTTTCTCCCGTTTCCGTTTCCGTTTTGTTATTTTAAATACATTTTTAAAAATAAAAAAAAATTTTTATTTTTTCGTTCTTAAATATTTTTTAAATGATATGAAAAAAAAAAAATTGGCAGAAATGAAATTCCAGCGGTAAAGGACGGTTGAGATCACGTGATTTGTCATATTTGACATTTTTGTTGGGGGGGAGAGGGGTAGGAGGAGAAGGAGGAAAAGGCGAGTTTTTTGTTGTTTTTTTGGAAAAGTACAACAAAAAAAATTTTTTTTTTTTTTTGTTTTCTCGGAGTCTAAAAAATTTTTTTTTTTTTTTTTTAATGAATTCAATAATCAATCGATTGATAAAATTTTATTAATAAATAATATCGATACGTCATTTTTTTATTAATATAATTGATTTTTAATATTAATAATAATAATAATAATATAAAAACCTTTTTTCGTTTGGGAAAAATTTTGACACGTTTTCATTAAAATAAAAAATTAATTAAATAAATATATATATATAAATTAATTAATCGACCGTTGTGGTTTTCATAACAAAATCCTCTCCCCGACCTTCCCATCCCCCCCTCAAAACAAAAAAAAAATGAAAAAAAAATGGTGGATGAAAAAAAAGGGTTAGTTATAAATTCTTTTTAACAAAAAAAAAAGAAAAAAGTTAAATTAAATGAAATAAATGACTTGAAAAAAATGAAAAAGAAAAAAAAATTTGAAAAAATTCATCATCATCATCATCATTATCATAATCCTTTAATTCATTCGGTGATTGATGTTTAAAAATTCTAGAATGTTTTTTAAAAGATTAAATGTAAAAAAAAAAGTGATTACGGAAAATAATATGCAAAGGAAATTTTTTTTTGAATAACCCGTTGTCGATGATCTTTTTCAAACCTTTTTCTAAAATTTTCTCATTTGATCCTTTCGGTTAATAAAAACCTATTGAAAAGCACCAAAAGGATTTTTTCGGCGCACACACCCGCACACACTTTTGCCAACATAACGTATTAAAAATATAAACGTTTTTTTTTATTTTTTTGTCTTTGTCTTTTAGGCACCCTTTTCAAAAAGTTTTTAATATAAGAAACTGAATAAATTGTTGCTGGCGTCAGTGATAAAACAACCTTTTCAACATCAAAAACTAGTAAAGTTTGTTGTTATTATTATTATTATTATCATCACCGCGGATTTTATCGGAAAATTTTCGGGAGAAAACTCATTTTAATTTTCCCGTACTTACAGTAATAATAATAATAATAATTAGCGTTTTTTTTAAATTGGTTTTTATAACTTAATTTTTTATTACGTGCTCGTTGCATTTCCCTCCCCTCCCCGATTGTTTGTTTGTTTGTTTGTACGAACGCGTGCCTATTTTTCAAAATGAAAATTAATAATTTAAACGTTCGATCGATATCGTCGTCAGTTTTTCCTATTAATAATAATAATAATAATAATAATTTCAAAATGGCGTCGTTTTATTTGTTTATTATAATGAACCTTTCGAAAAAAAAAATTTTCGTGAACGTAGTTGTTTGTTTGTTTGTTTACAAAAAAAATTTAAATCATTTTTTTTTGGAAAAATTTTTATTTATTCGCACGCGCACGCGCATACCAATCAAAACGGATACGAACGATCTCATTCATTCGTTTCTTTATCTGTTATTAAAAAAAAAAAAAATTTCTGTTTCTCTTTTAATTTCCGGATTTTAAAAACAAAAATATTTTCCGATTGATTAAATATAACAAAAAAAAAAAAAAAAGGAAAATTTTTTCACGTGGAAACAACCCTTTTTCTCTACCGTTTTCTCGCCTTTTCTCTACCCCCTTTTCCCGTTCCTCCCCGCCTGTAAAAAGCTGTCGGGTTTTTAAAATTAAAAAAAGTAATTACTACCCTAATTTATCACACACTCACGCAAAAAAAAGCATCAATAATGAAATTCATTTTTAAAATATTATTATTATTATTATTATTATTATTACTGGGAAAAGAATTATTTAAAAAAAAAGAACCGACGCCATTTTGTCAAAATCGTGGCAATTAATTTTTTCTCAAAAGGAGGAAAACACCCACAATTTTCCTTTTTTTTTTTTTTTTTGTTGTTTGTAAAAAAGGTTTAGGATCGAAAAAGGTTGCGTTCGTTCAGACTATATTAAAAAATTTTCTTTTTTTTGGGGGGGTGAAAGTCATTTGTTTTTTTTTGTGAGGGGTACGTGTGCGTGACGTCATTAGGAAATTTAATTAATTTTGTTTTTTTTTTTTTTTATTTTCAGGATGAAAAAAATCAAATATTGACAACAAACGCCTGGCTAAACTTGGTAAGTTTTTAATAAATTATTTATTTATTTTGTTTTGTTTTGTTTGTTTGTTTGTTTGTCCAACAAGAGAATGTGTTAAGGGGATCGATTTAAAAAAAAATAGTAAATTTGATTTCGCATTGTCATCATCTTTGTACCGAAATCTATAAAATTTGAAAAAAACCCGCGAATTTTTTTCCACATGTCAAAAAAAATATTTTGCTAAACGTTATTGCATTTAATGCGATTAACGGTAGCAAAATTTCGTTTTTTTTATTAATTTTTTTAAAATTTTATAAAATCTTTTCATTCTTTATAAAAAAAAAAAAAAAAAAAATATTCTAAAATTTTCAAACGCAAGCAATTTTTGTGTTTTTTTTTTTTTTTTTTTATTTGGAACGTGGCGTCAGAAAAGTTTTTTTTTTTTCCTTTCTTATGTAATCCGACATAAATCAGAAAGTTTTTAAGTTTTTTTTTTTTTTCTCTTTTTTGAATATTTTTAAAATTCAAAAAAAAAGAAAAAAAATTTTTTTTCCATGCAGTTAATAAATAATTTTTTTTGTTTTGTTTACCTGAATGACGACATATCGAAAATAATACGGTTGAGAAACAACAACGAATAAATTATTACTTTAATAAGTTTATTTTTTTCTCACGTGTGTGTGTGCGCGTGTGTTAAAAACTTACTGTATGAAATGCATAAATAAAAAAAAATTATCGATTTTTTTTTTTTTTTAAATTTTTTTTGGGTATTTTTCGAGTTATAATAAATTGGTCAAGTTTTGAAAATTTTTTTTAATATAATAAAATATCGAAATACGCTAAAATGTTTTTTCCCCTTACTCAAGCATAAAATTTAATTTATTATTATTATTATTATTATTATTATTATTATTTATCCCCACACGTAAGTTAAATATTTATTTATTAATATAATGACGTCATAAAATTTCCACAAAAAAAAAAATTAACTTAAATTACTCGCGTAATAAACAAAAAAAAAAAAAAAATTTACAATTTTTCATTTGGTTAAATTAAATATTGTGATTGTTGTCGTTGTTTATGCGGTTGTTGTTTGTTTGTTTGTTTTATTTGCCTTACGAAAAGAAATTTAAAAGTTTAAAGTTTGGGTTTTGATTGTTAGATAAAGTTGAGTAAATTGAATGGAGTCGTAATTTTCAAAGCGTTCGGAAAAAACATTTGAAATCTGAATCGTGGCAACAACAACAAAACAAAAAAAAGGAAAAAAAGGAAAAAAGGAAAAACCGCTTTAAAATTTTTTTTTTATGATATTATTAATCATTTTCCAAGAGCAAAAACTCAATTTTTCACGGACGAGTTTTTCTTTTTTTTTTTTTTTTTTTGATTTATTAAGAAATTTTTTTTTTTTTTGTTTTTTTTTTTACTTCCCGTAAATTTTATTATTTATTACTTTTAAGCCTTTTCTTTTCCTTTAAATCTCAACGCTGGGAAAATTATTTGCATTATGATAATAATAATAAAAATAGTGACGGTTTGAAATGAATATTGAGAAGTTTTTGGAAAGTTGAGAATATGACGTCACAGTACAAACGTATCCTACTAAAATGAAAATTTTTTGCTATCGATGAAAAAATGTTTATAAAAAAACTTTTTAAAAAACTCAATTTATGAACCTTTAACGTAACGATTTATAACAAAAAACGATGATGATGATAATTTTATGATAAAAGTTTAACACTCGGAAAACGTCGGAAAAAAAAAGGAAAAGGAAAAGTTTTTTCGTTATATTTTTGTCACGAAATTTTTCTTGACCTTTTTCGATTTTCCTTTTTTTTTTTACTTCCAAAAAAAAAAAACATGATTTTTATGTTTTAAATTAAAAAAGTTTGACAATGAAACAAACACAAACAACAAACATTTTATTTAAAAAAAAAAAAAAAAATTTTTTTTTGGGAAACCTATCAAAAAAAAAGAAAAAAATTCGTTCGCCATATTTAAATCTTATGTAATTTATTTTTGTTTCGTTTTTTCTTTT